GCGCGCTGTCTTTCTCGAGCTTGCTCTTCTGGCTGCTGGCGCACTTGATCGACGAGGTCGAAACCTTCTCCTCTAACGACCTCGTCAAGAAGGGCGAGCTCTTCGGGATCGGCCTCGCCCTCTGCTCGAAGCTGGCCCCCGCGTACAACACACAGATGCTATCCTTTGGCCTGCTCCTCATGTGGCTCTCGTGGTTCATGCGCATCTTCTCGCTCTGCGGGCTGGGCACCCTGACTGTGATGCTCGAGAAGATGCTCTCCGACACGGTCCAGTTCCTGGTCTTCATGGTGGGCTGCGCCGTCGCCTTTGCCGCCGCGCTGCACCAGCTCTTCCCTGTCAGAGACGTCCTGGAGGTCGAGGGCTGCGAGCCGTTCGGTGACTTTAGCCAGGGGATTCTGTCGACGCTCAAGCGGCTACTCAAGGTCGCCATCGACCCGGCAGAGAGCATCGATTGTGCGGGGTTGATTGCGGGGGCGCAGTTTCACTTCACGGCGCCGTTTATCGTGAGCGTGTATGTCACCCTGTCAGTGATATTGCTCCTCAATATGCTAATCGCAATCATGGCCAAGACGTTCGACAACGTGTGGGACAAGGCAGACGACGAGAATCGGTACCTCAAAGCCCAGCTCGCGGTGCAGTATTTTGGCGAAACGTACTTTACGCCGCCACCTCCCTTCAACCTACTGCGTCTGCCTTTCAGCACCCTCAGCACCCTCGTCGACCCCGGCGCGCCTGAGCTGCTGAGGAGGCTCTGGGCCAGGACCAGAGGGGCGTGCGAGCTCATTGGCTCCTTTTGCGTCGGCGCCGGCAGGTGGCTCCTGTGGTTCATCTGCCTGCCTCGCCTGGCGGTGTGGGTCCTTCAACGTGCATGGGCCCACCCATACCCGAACCATGCTCCGGAGGAGGGTCTGCTTTCGAGCGAGGGGGAGTCGACCGACAGGTACGGTCTCGACCCTTCGAACGTGCGCTACGTGGACGGGGTCGGCCAGCTGTGGTCGGAGCGGAACACGGTCGAGATGCTGATCAAGCTCGAGGAGGAGATCGAGAGGAAGCAGGCGGAGATTCAGAAGCAGCACGAGGAGGGCGGAGGCAGGTAGGGCCGTTCTGAGTGAGTCTGCGAGGGCACCGCTCTCCTGAGGTGAGAGACTCGCACAGCCACCCCTGGTGGCTGGAGGTGCGATTGAATGGAGCATGAACACGAGCGTGCAGGAGCATGACCACCGGGGCATGTATGTTGTATCCCCGCCCTGCACGATCTTGGTGTGAGGCCGCCTCGATACGTGCGAGAAGTACAGGCTGCGGAGCGTGAGATGTACTGGGTTGAGCTGTTCTAGTTACTCTGCATGTAGTGCTAAGAAGAGTCACCAAAAAAGAAAAAAACGGTGGCGCCCGGGGCACGCACCCGCACGCGCCGCACGCGCCGCACGCGCGCGCGGGCTCACATGGCGCTCGAGCTCCCCACTGAGCTGCTAGTGGTGGTTGCGACCCACGCCGACGCGCCCACGTTCGTGGCAATGCAGGCCACCTGCAAGACGTGGCTCGATGCCGTCCGCGCTGCGGGAGCGCAAGTCACAGACCGGCTGTGGCACGCGTTTGCACTGGCGCGGTTCCCGAGGGCCGCTGCTATTGTGAAGCATGCCACAGGCCCGGTCGCTGGCTACACGCTCTACCGCGCGCAGCTCCAGGCTGACAGAGCGGAGTACTTGCCCGTGGCGCCGCTCCCGCCGTGCAAGACGCAGTTCAGCGATTATCTGTTTGCGCTGGAGTGTGTGTGGCCGGCAGGAGCCGACGGGGAGCCCCGTGTGGGCCGCTGGAGCGGCGTCATCGGTGCCCTGGCGTCGACAGAGTGCCCATTGTGGGATGAGGGTTCGGCACCCGCCTGGCACCGCGAATGGGTTGGCTCTGTGCGATCTTCTTCGTTCCCAGAGCCAGAGCTTCGTGTGCATGTGACAAACCTGAGGACGCTCCAGTGCATCCTGCTGTGCGATGACACGCTACGCACCGACGGCTGCATGTGGATTACACTCCCAACCACGGGCGCCATGCGCCTCAGCGAGGAGTGGGACTCGCAGCACTCCGTTGCGCAGATCAATCCAACTTTTGCGGATGACTCTACCTGGCGCGTGATCGTGCTCGAATTTGACACGGGGCAGCGGGCGGAAGACGACGCATCACTCGCCCCTCAAACCATGGAGTACGAACGAGCTATGACGCCAGGGGAGGTGTTGTGCTACCTGGAGCACCACGCCCCGTGGCACTTGAGCGGAGCTTGAGGCCGGGTCGCGCGTGGCGATCCTGCTCCTCACCCGCTGCGCTTCTTTTTTGTACAACACTGGCCAGGGTAAGGAAAGAAACACAGCGAGTCTCAGAGAATCAGTGCTCGGCCTCGGGCCGCATCTCCCGGTCCTCCCCTGACCCCTTCCCCCGAGGGCGCGATGCCGACACGTTGTGTTCACGCCACGCGAGCCAGTTCGTGATTGCGCACCGCTCGTATATTGGCCGTTACAGCCGTCGACTATGAGCATGACCGCGCTTTCTTTTTTCTTCGAAAAGAAAATCGTGCGGGACGTCTGTGGGCCCGAGAGCGATATGCCATGTCCGCCTTGCTTTGTTCCATCGAAGGTAGGTAGGTAGGTAGAAAGGTGAAGAACAGCCAGGCTCGGACTGGACACCAACGCGGTATGGGTGGACGCTGGACAGATGATGACGACACGCACGAGCGACACACAGACACAAAAGGCTCACAAGACACACAGCCAGCTGGCTGCCACACACCCTGAGTTGGCGTACACATAACTCAAGGCCATATCCTCCCTGTCGCCCCCCCCAGCACTCCAAGGTGCCAAGAGAAACAAACAAGAGCACAACAAACAACAGACGACTGGAAGTGACATGTGAGGCTAGAGCAGCATGCTCCACCTCTAGCAATCTCGCCGGCCGCAAGGCACGGACGAGACCGTATGTGGGGTCTAGTGAGGTGTCTATGGACGCCCTCCTCATGGGCTAGCTGCCTGCGGCTAGCCCTAATCTCGCACTCACGGACAGCGACAATCAAATGGGTGAGTGTTTGCGAGCTGAGGCGCGTGGGCTAAATCTAGGCCGCACGTCGTGGCACTATGACGAAGTAGACGTGCGGCCGCAGCGCGCCCGCCGCAGGCTCGGCGGTGCGCGCGTGTTCGAAGGCTAAGCTCAAAAAAGAAAATCGCGCGGCGTTCTTGGAAGCTGCGGCGGAGCTCTCTTGCCTCGCTCGCTGCTCCGCTTCAGCCTTCCAGTCCGCTCATCCCTGCATGCGGTTGCTGCCTGGCCTCAGTTTAGGCGGTTTTCTGATGTCGGCGCTGCTGGCCCGCTCGGCCGCCCTCAACGCTGCCGCAGCAGCTCGCCGCCTCCCGGCTAGCACGTGCGGGCGTGCGGCAGCGGCTCTGCCGCGCCTGCTCGCAGCACCGGCCATGGGCAGCCGTCGCTGCAGCGGCCTGCGAATGGCAGACCAGAGCGCGGTAGCAGAGGCTCCGGCGCCGCCCGCGCCGGTCCCGCTGCCGACCAACGCTAACGAGCAGCTGCTCCGCATCCGGCACTCGACGGCGCACGTCATGGCGATGGCGGTGCAGCGGCTGTACAAGGACGCGCGCGTGACGATCGGGCCGTGGATCGAGAAGGGCTTCTACTACGACTTCGACCGGCCCGAGCCCTTTGCGGAGAAGGACCTGCGCCGCATCAAGAAGGAGATGGACAAGCTCATCGGCCTCAAGCTGCCGTTCCGGCGCGACAGCATGCCCCAGCCTGAGCCGCACCTCGACCGCACCTCGGCCGCATCTCGGCCGCACCTCGGCGTGTCCTCTCCCGCCGCAGGCGCGAGGAGCTGAGCTTCGACGAGGCAAAGGCGCGGATCGAGGCGGCGGACGAGCCGTACAAGCTGGAGATCCTCGACTCGATCGTCGCAAAGGACCCCGACGCGCCCATCACCATCTTCCACATCGGGGAGCCCGGCAAGGCGCGCCACCACACACCCCTGACTTGTGACGCCACCCCACCCCACTGCCCTCCTCTGCTCGCCCTCCCACATGCCCCCCGCCGGCAGGGCCGCGCACGACACACCCCGCCCCACCCCTCGCCCTCGCCCTCCGCCCTCCGCACCCGCCCCTCGCCCTCAAAAGGCGAACTGGTGGGACCTCTGCGCCGGCCCGCACGTCGAGCACACCGGCCAGCTGCCCAAGGACGCCATCGACCTCGAGTCGATCGCGGGCGCGTACTGGCGGGGCGACGAGGCGAGGCCGATGCTGCAGCGCATCTACGGCACCGCGTGGGAGAGCGCGGAGCAGCTGGCGGAGCACCGGCGGATCCAGGAGGAGGCGAAGCGGCGGGACCACCGCGCCCTCGGCAAGCAGCTCCGCCTCTTCTCCATCCAGCAGGAGGCTGGCGGCGGCCTCGTCTTTTGGCACCCGCGCGGCGCGAGGGTGCGGCGGCTGTCAGTCATTACACACCTCGGAGCATGGAGGACGGGCCCACACGCACACACACGCTGCACACGATTGGCTCGGGAGCCGACACGAGGCACACTGTCACCGGCCGTAGCACCGGGGCCGGACTGCTGGACACACAGCACGCAGCTCACAGGACAGCTCACGAGGTGGCGCTGTATACATAGGTGCGGCGGCTGATGGAGGACTTTTGGCGCGAGGCGCACACAGCGGGCGGGTACGAGCTGCTCTACACGCCGCACATGGCGTCGCTCGACCTGTGGAAGACGTCCGGCCACTTCGACTTTTACGCCGACGGCATGTTTGACCAGATGGAGGTCGAGGGGGCGCAGTACCAGATCAAGCCGATGAACTGCCCCTTCCACGTGCGACCCGTCCCCTACCCCCACGGTACCCCAACCCATCCCACGCGCACGCGCGCGGCCGCCCCCTCCCCCTGCCGGCCCCCGAGGCTGACCCGAGGGGTGTGTCGGGAGCAGGTGCTGACCTACAAGGACGAGAAGCGCTCGTACCGCGACCTGCCGCTCCGCTGGGCGGAGCTTGGCACCGTCTACCGCTACGAGCGGTCGCGACTAGCCGAGACGCGCCGAGAGGACCCGGGAGGACCCGTCTGCCGCGACGGCCGGCCGGGCACTGTCCACGCGCTCCTCCGCTTGCCGGAGCCTCCTTCCCGGAGCCCTTTCTGAACGCCTCCTGCAGGTCGGGCACGCTCAACGGCCTCTTCCGCGTGCGCGGCTTCACGCAGGACGACGCGCACATCTTTTGCCTCCCGGAGCAGCTCGCCGACGAGATCCAGGGCCCGACCCGTCCGGAGCCCTCTCGGAGCCCTCGCGGAACCTTCTCGGAACCTTCTCGGAGCCTTCCTGCAGGCGTGCTCGACCTGACCGAGACCATCCTGACAAAGTTCGGCTTCACCGAGTACGAGGCGATGCCCCCCCCCCCCCCCCCATCCCCCCTCCCCCACCCCTCCTACTCCCCTCTCTCGGATGCTCTCTCGGATGCTCTCTCCGCGAGGAGGCGGTCGGCTCGGACCATGCCGTGACGCCTCCGCGACGTGTCCGCGACAGGTGATGCTCTCCACGAGGCCCGACAAGGCGGTCGGCGCGAGGCCTGGCGCGCTCAACGGCAGCCGCGCGGCCAAACCAAGGCGACTGTGAGCAGGCGGTCGGCTCGGACGAGATCTGGGACAAGGCGACGAGCGCCCTTCGCGAGGCGCTCGGCGCAAAGGGGTGGGAGTACGACGTCGACGAGGGCGGCGGCGCCGCGCACGTTTGCGGACGCCGTGTGGCCTGCGGTTGAGCGGCCGTCTCTGCTCTCAGGCGGCGGCGCCTTCTACGGCCCAAAGATCGACATCAAGATCCGCGACGCCATCGGGAGGCTCTGGCAGTGCTCGACGATCCAGTGCGACTTCAACCTGCCGCAGCGGTCCGGCCTCGAGCGTGGCGTGGCGAGACGGCGAAAGGGGGGGGCCTCACCCCTAGACTCGTGCGGCTGGTAGGTTCGGCCTCGAGTACGTGTCGCCGGACGGCGGGCGCGAGCAGCCGATCATGCTGCACCGCGCCATCTTCGGGTCGCTCGAGCGGTTCTTCGGCGCGCTCACCGAGCCGACGGCAGGCGACGGCTCCCCATCTGTGCGCAGCGTCTCTTCACACCGCCCTTGTCCGCAGGCGTGCTCATCGAGTCGACGGCGGGCGACTTCCCCTTTTGGCTCGCGCCGACGCAGCTGCGGCTGCTGCCCGTCTCGGACGACTACCGGCCGTACTGCGACGCAGCGGTGGCGCGGCTCAAGGCGGCGGGCATCCGCGCGGAGGTCGACCCCGGCGGCCGATCCGTCGGCAAGCAGATCAAGGTCGCCAACCAGGACAAGGTGCGAAGCTACGCCAGTCGCTTGCACGTTCAGCGCCCCGTCACCGCGCTGGCCTCGCCCGCCCCCCGAAACCCGCCGTCTCGTCTCCCTCCTGGCCACTCGCCCCCTCGCCCCCTCGCCTCCTCGCCTTCGTCGCCTCCTCGCCTCCTCGCCCCGTCGCCCCCTCTCCTCCTTGCCTCGCCTCCTCGCCTCCTCGCCTCGCCTCGCCTCCTCGCCTCCTCGCCTCCTCGCCTCCTCGCCTCCTCGCCTCCTCGCCTCACCTCCTCGCCTCGCCTCCTCGCCTCCTCGCCTCCTCGCCTCCCGCTTCCCCGCGTCGCCTCTCCCACCCCGTCCCACTCTCGCCGACCCGCCTCAGGTGCCCATCCTGTCGGTGGTGGGCGAGGCCGAGGTTGGCGCGAACGCCCTCAAGCTCGAGATGCGCAAGGGGGGCGAGCTGGGCGAGCTGCCGCTCGAGCGCGCCATCGAGGTGCTCGCGGCGGCGGCGGAGAAGGCGGTGGAGCCTATCGAGGCGCTGTGAGCGCCGCCTCTCTCTCTGCCTCCCTCCCTCCCTCCCTCCCTCCATCTCTCCCTCGCTGCGAGGCCTCTCCAACTCCTCTCATACTCCTCATCTCTCCTCTCCTCCTCTCCTCTTGTCCTCTCCGACTCCTGTCTCGTCCGCCTCTCCCTCGGTGGCTTTTGGAGGGGGGGGGGGGGGGGCGTGAGAGGGAGGTTGGGCACCGCTGGCGGCCAAGAGCCGTGTATTTCGCGAGGGGCGTTGGTGCTCTTGAGACGCGCGTGATTTTCTGTTTTTGTGTGCCGTCAGGTCCAGGACGAGGGCGTTTTATAACCGCACATCCGAGAGAAAACTTAGAATTTTACAACTCAAAATTCCCTCGCACTTAGAACACGAGTACGGAGCAAATGCCGGGGTGGACCGCCGTCTCTTGCGCGACTCTAAACAGTGACTCTTCCAATCCACTCATGCGCATATTCCGATCATGTCACATGTGTACCGCAGCACATCACCCCAGCACCCTCAAGCAAAATCTCACGTCTCAGCACCCCTCAAGTCCGAGTGGGGGAGTGTGACCTCATCCACTACGACATCTCAAAAAGTGTGAGAATCGTCCCGTGAACGGCGTCTGATGAAATGGCGCCTCGAGCCCTATTCATAGCAAAATGTGTGCATTTCGTCTCTCCACACCTCGAAGCCGTTGAGTCGCCGTGAGCGCCGTCAAGCGCCTTCTGCTTCTCGCCGCTCCAAGGGTGCTCTGCGCCGCAATAACAGCACCGGGCGTGAGCGCAGCACACGCGCAGCGCGCCCTCTGAACGGCGTCTGATGCATCGACGTGTCGAGCCCTATTCATAGCAAAAGGTGTGAATTTCGTCTCTCCACACCTCGAAGCCGTTGAGTCCTTTTTCGCCGTCAAACCGCTCTAGCGGCGCTGCGCGCCGCGTGGAGAGCGCGGCGCGTGCGTAGGAGCACGTGCTGCACCCGCACCGCGAAGGCCGTCTCACGAGTCGGCGAGCCGAGCCCTGTTCATAGCAAAGAGTGTGAACGGCGTCTCTTCACACCTCAACACCGTGAACGCCGTCAATCGCCTTCTCACCGCCCCAAGGGCGCTCCGCGCCGTGCTAACGGCGCCGAGCGTGCAGCGCAGCACGCGCGCGACACGCCCCTTGCACGGCGTCTGCTAAAACGGCGCCTCGAGCCCTACCCGAGTCGAAAAGTGTGAGAAGCGTCATTTCACACCTCGAAACCGCTAAGTCATTTTTTCGCCGTCAAACCGCTCTAGCGGCGCTGCGCGCCGCAAAGAGAGCGCGGCGCGTGCAGAGGAGCACACGCTGCACACGCACGGTGAAGGCCGTCTCACGAGTCGGCGAGCCGAGCCCTATTCATAGCAAAGAGTGTGAACGGCGCCTCTTCACCTCGACACCGTGAACACCGTCCGACGCCTTCTCACCGCCCCAAGGGCGCTGCGCGCCGTGCTAACGGCGCCGAGCGTGCAGCGCAGCACACGTGCGACACGCCACTTGCACGGCGTCTGCTAAAACGGCGCCTCAAGCCCTATCCGAGTCGAAAAGTGTTAGAACCGTCATTTCACACCTCGAAACCGCTAAGTCATTTTTTCGCCGTCAAACCGCTCTAGCGGCGCTGCGCGCCGCAAAGAGAGCGCGGCGCGTGCAGAGGAGCACGCGCTGCACACGCACGGTGAAGGCCGTCTCACGAGTCGGCGAGCCGAGCCCTATTCATAGCAAAGAGTGTGAACGGCGCCTCTTCACACCTCGACACCGTGAACACCGTCCGGCGCCTTCTCACCGCCCCAAGGGCGCTCCGCGCCGTGCGAACGGCGCCGAGCGTGCAGCGCAGCACACTTGCGACACGCCACTTGCACGGCGTCTGATAAAACGGCGCCTCGAGCCCTATCCGAGTCGAAAAGTGTGAGAAGCGTCATTTCACACCTCGAAACCGCTAAGTCATTTTTTCGCCGTCAAACCGCTCTAGCGGCGCTGCGCGCCGCAAAGCGAGCGCGGCGCGTGCAGAGGAGCACACACTGCACACGCACGGTGAAGGCCGTCTCACGAGTCGGCGAGCCGAGCCCTATTCATAGCACAAAGTGTGAACGGCGCCTCTTCACACCTCGAGCCGTGAACACCGTCCGGCGCCTTCTCACCGCCCCAAGGGCGCTCCGCGCCGTGCGAACGGCGCCGAGCGGGCAGCGCAGCACACTTGCGACACGCCACTCGCACGGCGTCTGATAAAACGGCGCCTCGAGCCCTACCCAGAGAGAGTTGTTTTGTTTAAATTCTTTTTCGGCGAGGGACGGCACAGCTCGCTCGCTCGCTCGCCATTTGCTCACGCTCGCGCAGGCGCGTCGCAGCGTGCACCCACGCAACGCCTCCGCTCCGTCCACACCACCTACTGCGTAGCCATGGCATTTCCGTGTGCGTGCGACTCGCACTCGCTCTCTTGCACTGCCCGCCGCCTTTGCCGCCGCCTTCGCCTCCGAAACTTTCGGAGCGCTTCCCCATTCTCGCACTGCCTCGCTCGCCACGTTTGACAACAGTGCACCACGCTCGCTGTCTCTCGCTCCCACTCACGCTTCGTGCTTCGCTACTAGGTTCTTCGCATCTACTTGGAGTGGATAGCGTCTGCCGCCTCTCGCTGCTCTTTCCGCTCTGCCACCTCGATTTCGCGGTCGCGACGCTCTGATGCCACTCCCTAGGTCGCAGCTCCATCGCTCGCTGTACCAAGGAGCGATGGCGAGGCGGCAGCATCGCATCGGCGTTGCCGACCGCTGTCACGCTCGGCCATCTCCCGCCGCCATCTCCACCTCTCTCGCCGCCGCCACCGCCTTTGCCACGCCTCGGGCGAGCCCAGCTAGCACGCCGCCGGCTCTCCTCGTACTCGCGTCGCTCACCGTCCTGAACAGACAGCGGAGGGGTGGCCAGCTAGGGTTAGCCTAGGTTGCATGGGTGCGGTTAGGGTTATGGTTCCGGGTGGAAGAGGTGCTAGAGTAGAGTTAGGGTTAGCACCCGGTCCGAGCTAGGGTTAAGTTAGGGTTACGAGCTGCCCGCCACGGCTCGAAAGAAGGGCTCAAAAAACGATAAAAAACGGTCCACCCGCGAAAAAATCGCGCGCTGCGCGCGCAGGAAGAGAGAGAGAGTCATTACCGCCGCCGCAACCACACCCCGGCGGAGCCCGGGAGAAAGTCGTGGAGCGCAGCGACACGACTTTCCCGGGGCGACGCCGGCGCGCGCGGAAAACGCTGTTTTCGCCAAAACGGTGGAGGCCGCCCCGCGCTGCCGCTCCATCAAACCCGCACCGCCTGAAGCCCTCGGGAAGGCCCTCAAAACGCCGACGCGGGAGGGCGAAAATCGCCTCGCTTCAGAGCCCGCGCGAGGACGGACCCCACGCCGCCCCACGAGCGACCCGCGCGACCCGCGACCAACAGCCGTGCGGAGAATCGGCAGGAGATGTCCGCAGCCCCCAGGATCGTCCTCGTCCGATCCCACCATCGACCACCATGACCATCCCCGCGCGCGCTGCAAATCTTCAGGCCCTCTGCTCAACTTTGGACGACGACTTTATTTCGGGTGCTAAAGCAGCTCGCACGGGCCCATCTCGCCGCCCCCGCCCCCGCCCGCCCCCGCCCCGCAGGCCCGGCGCCGCCGGCTTCCCCCGCGCACCTCACGGGGCGCCACGACACCGCCTGCCAGGCGGCCTGCAGCAGTGCGGGACAGCAGCTGCTACATTCCTCGCCTCCCGACGGCCACGGCGCCGCCCCGCGGTCGAAGCTCGCAAAACCACGCACGGCCCCGTCCACACCGCTCACCCGACGCCCGCTCGCGCCGCCCGCGGACCCCTCCCCCGCCAAACCCGCCCCCCTCCTAGCCCCTCCCAGAAGCCGCCACACAGGCCTCGCCTCGCCTCGAACCAGCCCCAAAAAGTAGAGGGCCGTTTCTGTGGCTCCCAGCCCATTCCCTATCGATTTCCAAACCTTTTTTTAATTTTTCGGCGCGGAATTTATTTCTTTATTTGCCCACAGCGGGCGGACGGGCGCCTCGCTCTCAACCCAGCGCCTGCAGTCTCTGTCGCCCCTCTCGCCACTATGCCTCGTCCACGCTCCAGCTGTCTTCCTCCGTGCATACTTCCGTCGCGGCGCGGCGCCCGACCGCGCGTCGGCGCGGTCTGATCGCCGCCGCGGCTCTCGTCGCGCCGCTTCGTCTCTGCCGCCGTCTCGGCGGCCGCGCGGGCTGGCCTGGGAAGGTTCCGCTCTGGAACTTGGTTACGTGGGCACCGCACCGCCTCGCCTCGCGCCTAGCGCGGCCAACTCTCCACGCGCGGCGGCTGGCCGGCGCCACGTACGCACCTCCGCATCTCGCTCACCGAGCGCTGCTCGCTGCGCTGCACGTACTGCATGCCCGCGCCCATCACCATCTTCCACATCGGGGAGGCCGGCAAGGCGCGCCACCACACACCCCTGACTTGTGACGCCACCCCACTCCACCCTCGCCCTCGCCCTCCCACATGCCCCCCGCCGGCAGGCCGCGACACACCCCGCCCCACCCCTCGCCCTCGCCCTGCGCCCTCCGCACCCGCCCCTCGCCCTCAAAAGGCGAACTGGTGGGACCTCTGCGCCGGCCCGCACGTCGAGCACACCGGCCAGCTGCCCAAGGACGCCATCGAGCTCGAGTCGATCGCGGGCGCGTACTGGCGGGGCGACGAGGCGAGGCCGATGCTGCAGCGCATCTACGGCACCGCGTGGGAGAGCGCGGAGCAGCTGGCGGAGCACCGGCGGATCCAGGAGGAGGCGAAGCGGCGGGACCACCGCGCCCTCGGCAAGCAGCTCCGCCTCTTCTCCATCCAGCAGGAGGCTGGCGGCGGCCTCGTCTTTTGGCACCCGCGCGGCGCGAGGGTGCGGCGGCTGATGGAGGTCTATATCTCCCCAGATCTCCCCAGATCTCCCCACATCTCGCTCGCCCGCCTACCAGCAGGTCTATATCTCCCCAGATCTCCCCATCTCCCCCAGGACTTTTGGCGCGAGGCGCACACGGCGGGCGGGTACGAGCTGCTCTACACGCCGCACATGGCGTCGCTCGACCTGTGGAAGACGTCCGGCCACTTCGACTTTTACGCCGACGGCATGTTTGACCAGATGGAGGTGGAGGGGGCGCAGTACCAGATCAAGCCGATGAACTGCCCCTTCCACGTGCGACCCATCCCCTACCCCCACGGTACCCCAACCCATCCCACGCGCACGCGCGCGGCCGCCCCCTCCCCCTGCCGGCCCCCGAGGCTGACCCGAGGGGTGTGTCGGGAGCAGGTGCTCACCTACAAGGACGAGAAGCGCTCGTACCGCGACCTGCCGCTCCGCTGGGCGGAGCTTGGCACCGTCTACCGCTACGAGCGGTCGCGACTAGCCGAGACGCGCCGAGAGGACCCGGGAGGACCCGTCTGCCGCGACGGCCGGCCGGGCACTGTCCACGCGCTCCTCCGCTTGCCGGAGCCCCCTTCCCGGAGCCCTTTCTGAACGCCTCCTGCAGGTCGGGCACGCTCAACGGCCTCTTCCGCGTGCGCGGCTTCACGCAGGACGACGCGCACATCTTTTGCCTCCCGGAGCAGCTCGCCGACGAGATCCAGGGCCCGACCCGTCCGGAGCCTTCTCGGAGCCCTCGCGGAACCCTCTCGGAACCTTCTCGGAGCCTTCCTGCAGGCGTGCTCGACCTGACCGAGACCATCCTGACAAAGTTCGGCTTCACCGAGTACGAGGCGATGCCCCCCCCCCCCCCCCCCATCCCCCCTCCCCCACCCCTCCTACTCCCCTCTCTCGGATGCTCTCTCGGATGCTCTCTCCGCGAGGAGGCGGTCGGCTCGGACCATGCCGTGACGCCTCCGCGACGTGTCCGCGACAGGTGATGCTCTCCACGAGGCCCGACAAGGCGGTCGGCGCGAGGCCTGGCGCGCTCAAACGGCAGCCGCGCGGCCAAACCAAGGCGACTGTGAGCAGGCGGTCGGCTCGGACGAGATCTGGGACAAGGCGACGAGCGCCCTTCGCGAGGCGCTCGGCGCAAAGGGGTGGGAGTACGACGTCGACGAGGGCGGCGGCGCCGCGCACGTTTGCGGACGCCGTGTGGCCTGCGGTTGAGCGGCCGTCTCTGCTCTCAGGCGGCGGCGCCTTCTACGGCCCAAAGATCGACATCAAGATCCGCGACGCCATCGGGAGGCTCTGGCAGTGCTCGACGATCCAGTGCGACTTCAACCTGCCGCAGCGGTCCGGCCTCGAGCGTGGCGTGGCGAGACGGCGAAAGGGGGGGCCTCACCCCTAGACTCGTGCGGCTGGTAGGTTCGGCCTCGAGTACGTGTCGCCGGACGGCGGGCGCGAGCAGCCGATCATGCTGCACCGCGCCATCTTCGGGTCGCTCGAGCGGTTCTTCGGCGCGCTCACCGAGCCGACGGCAGGCGACGGCTCCCCATCTGTGCGCAGCGTCTCTTCACACCGCCCTTGTCCGCAGGCGTGCTCATCGAGTCGACGGCGGGCGACTTCCCCTTTTGGCTCGCGCCGACGCAGCTGCGGCTGCTGCCCGTCTCGGACGACTACCGGCCGTACTGCGACGCAGCGGTGGCGCGGCTCAAGGCGGCGGGCATCCGCGCGGAGGTCGACCCCGGCGGCCGATCCGTCGGCAAGCAGATCAAGGTCGCCAACCAGGACAAGGTGCGAAGCTACGCCAGTCGCTTGCATGCTCACCGCCCCGTCACCGCGCTGGCCTCGCCCGCCCCCCGAAACCCGCCGTCTCGTCTCCCTCCTGGCCACTCGCCCCCTCGCCCCCTCGCCTCCTCGCCTCCGTCGCCTCCTCGCCTCCTCGCCCCGTCGCCCCCTCTCCTCCTTGCCTCGCCTCCTCGCCCCCTCGCCTCGCCTCGCCTCCTCGCCTCCTCGCCTCCTCGCCTCCTCGCCTCCCGCTTCCCCGCGTCGCCTCCCCCACCCCGTCCCACTCTCGCCGACCCCCCTCAGGTGCCCATCCTGTCGGTGGTGGGCGAGGCCGAGGTGGGCGCGAACGCCCTCAAGCTCGAGATGCGCAAGGGGGGCGAGCTGGGCGAGCTGCCGCTCGAGCGCGCCATCGAGGTGCTCGCGGCGGCGGCGGAGAAGGCGGTGGAGCCTATCGAGGCGCTGTGAGCGCCGCCTCTCTCTCTGCCTCCCTCCCTCCCTCCCTCCCTCCCTCCCTCCCTCCCTCCGTCTCTCCCTCGCTGCGAGGCCTCTCCAACTCCTCTCATACTCCTCATCCCTCCTCTCCTACTCTCCTCTTGCTCCTCTCCGACTCCTGTCTCGTCCGCCTCTCCCTCGGTGGCTTTTGGAGGGGGGGGGGGGGGTAGACGCGAGAGGGAGGTTGGGCACCGCTGGCGGAACAGCCGTGTATTTCGCGAGGGGCGGTTGGTGCTCTTGAGAGGCGCGTGATTTTCTGTTTTGTGTATCACGTCAGGTCCAGGGCGTTTTATAACCGCACACACCGAGAGAAGAGAGTACGTGGAGAGGGACAGAGACACGTCAGACCGGAAATAAATGAAATAAATATGTCATCGATCTATGAGTAAAGCGCCGTCTGTTGATCTGAACGAACCCCATTGACTGGCCACTGTGCACTGACACACCCGTACGGATGGCTGGAGCACTGTAGAGAGACTGTACTAGCAGACGTCGGAGCTCGGACCTTTGTGCACTACAAGGTCTTGCGGACCTCGAGCGCGACGACCGGCGCGTCGGCCGAAGGGCCAGCGGAGGGCAGGCACTGCACCCTGGGGAGAATATTGGACAAGGCCTTGGACAACTGCTGCAGGAGAGTGGGCTTCTCCTCGTCGGGAGCTGCCGAGGGTGCAGCCACCTCGTCGGCAGGCTCAGGCGCTGCCGCTGCCTCGGGCGCTGCCTCGGGCGCTGCCTCGGGCGCTGCCTCGGGCGCCTCAGCGTCCTCGACTGGCGCCTCCTCGCCTGCATGCGGCTGCTCGATCACGGGCTTGGAGCCCTTGCGCGGCGAGAGGAATGCGCAGGTCGTCGACCGTCCATCGTCGACAATGCAGGAGGCCGCCGTCGACATTGCCACAGCTCGATGTTGTGTAATGATGCCAACGATGGACTCATCTGGCCGCGGGGTGGGGGCCGCCTCGCCAGCTGCGACTGCCGCCGCCGCCTGCGAGTACTCCAGCCGTGCCTCCACCTCATCGATCGTCTCCGCCGACGCCTCCTCTGGCGCCTCCACCGCAACCTCAGCCAGCGCGCGTGCGACCGGCTCCTCCGTCGCCGGCGACTCGGCCTCCACCGCTCCGACCGTCTCGACAGGCTGGACAGCAGCCTCAGAGTTGCGGCCAGAGATGCAGTCGGTCACCTTGTCCAAGAATGACGATGAGTTGGCCGACGCAGCCGGCGGCGGCAGCTCCTCGGACTCCGCCTCGGAAGGCGCCGGGTCGGCTGGTGCCGCCTCCTCCTTGGGCTCCTCGCCCTCCGCCGTCTCAAACGCAACCGGCATCACCACATCTTGCGCCTCCGCCGCCGGCGCGTCGGCCACCGCCGTCTCGTGCGCGCGCTCGGTCTCCTCAACAGCAGGCTCAGACTTGCGGCCCGAGAGGTAGTCGGCCACGCTGTCCAGGATGGAGGACGCCGTTGTGGCCGGCGCGGGCGGCAGCATCTCCTCGACGGACTCGGTCGCAACAGGCGCGTCCTCGGCTGCGATCTCCTCTCCCACCGCCTCCTTGGGCTCTTCTGCCACCGCCTCCTCTCCGTCAGGCTTCACGTCCGAAGGTGCCGCAGAGATCTCAGCGGGCGCGACGTCGAGCGTGGTTTTGGCAGCAGCGCCGGCGGCAATGCAAAGCTGCTCCGGCTGCGGCTGCGGCACCGGCTCGGCGAGGACGTCGTTGGTCGACTTGGAGCTGCAGCCACCCATTCGCGCTGACTTGGTTCGTCAGACTTACTTCCTTTGCGTGCGTCCCCCCTTGCGACGTCGTGCCGAGATAGTTTGCGATGCTTGGAATCTTTGGAGTAGGGGGTGGGTCGGTTGATCTGGATCACCTCGTGGTCTATCTGGTGTATATACGCGACACGTCTTGCTACCACACCACGACATGATTCTTGATTACTTCGTTCGCCTCCTTGCGCACTCACTTATGTCTCTCTCTCCAAGATTGAGCAGGAGACAGTCACGTGGACGTGTAAAAGAATTTTACAACAAAATTCTCTCGCACAACACTGGGATCTACTGGGCACAGTCACATGCAAAGGATAATGTCTACACCCACCCTCATCTGCCCGCAACCATGAACTCAACAATCATCACACGTCACATGCCTGCGATCGCTCTATAGACGTCGCCATGCACGTCGCCATCAGCTCGCGCACCACCCTATCGAACGCCTCTTTGAAGCCGAAGGCTGCTTCAATCGTGGACAGGATGCGGTCTCGGTCTGTGGCAAGCGTACATTTCGCTTCGGAGAGCTTGAAGTCAAGGCGTGCATGTCTCGCTCTTGGCGAGGCCCCGGGCTTGAGGACCGTGATGTCGCCCGTACGCCCACCCAGGGAAAAGAAGCAAAAGAGTTCCAGGGCACACCAGAGCCGGGAGCAGTAGTCGGGTCCCGCCAAGACGAGCAGCTGGTTGCAGCCCGAGATGTAGACGGGCAGGCCCCGCAAGGACCTCTGGATGTCCTCTTGGTTGATGCAGCACTTGTCGACCCACAGCATTGGCTCTCTCCCGCGTTCCTTTCCGAATTGGCTCGCCCACGCCCTGAGGGCGAGGTACTTCTCGTCGCCGTCGTCTCCCCAGCTGTGACTCACGAATGCATCCACCTCGCCCAGCTTCACGCGCCGCACGGCTGGCAGCTGCTGCTCCTGCCCCGACGTCGATGAGCAAAACGTGTCCCGTTTCAGCGCGGAAAACGGGACAGCGGTGAACATCTCCACCGCGGCGTCCACTCGGCTGTCCACGGGATGGCAAGGCGATGCCCCAAGCAGCGTGCCCACGGCAGCGAGCCTCCGCGACTCCTCAACGAGCCCGACTCGTGATATGGCATGCATGATGCGCCCGCGGTTGCGCTCGGTGAGCAGCAGAGAGCAGAGCAGCGTGCCAGTCACCGACCACGCGAGGGCCCCCGGGGAGGACAGATACCACGCGTTGGGAGCCCCATCGCTCAATAGGGCGCACTCACCCCACCCGCCCCAGAGGAAGGCGTGGTTGGTCGGAAGCAAGAGCTGAGTTGGGAAGGCCACGCGCTGCATCAACCAGAGCCTTTGGAGGGCGCGGCGCGGCGAGGGAGCCATCACCGCGAACAAGGTGAGGGCGGTAAACAGGAGTAGCCAGGCCACTCGACAAGAGGCATAGGCGAAGCGCAGCCCCGCGCAGCCCTCGCCCTCCAGCCACAGCCGACGCTCCTCCAGGACGAGCGGCAGAGGGGCGATCGCGTTGAAGGTGAAATTGGTCGCCAGCAGGAGCCCGACCACGCGTACGCCGACCGCGTCGAGCGGTCGGCAGGAGAGGAGGAACATCAGCTGGTAGACGACGGAGAGGATTCCCCCGAGGACCAGCATTGCCACAGAAGCGTGCGCAGACTCTTCGCTTCGCGTCATGAGCCCTCTCTGCAGCACGCCTGCCTCCACGTACACGGCTAGCACCCACGCAGCCGACATCGTGGCGAGCGTGGTGCGCAACCTCACCTTGTTGTCGGCAGCCTGCGCCGTCCTAAGCCGCTCCTTGAGGTGAACCACGGACGGAGCGTGCTGACCCTCGCGCCTCCTCGCTGCACGGCGGTAGGCGAGCACACAGATTGAGACTCCAATCGCCGGGGGCACGAAGGCACACAAGGACATAATCACCCAGTACAGGATCGCCATATTGCCTCCTCCTCCGGCTCAGGACGGAGACTGGAGACTGGGCTTGCTCCTTCCATTCTCCATCACATCACGGCCCCCCCCATAAAAATAAAGTGTTTCGACTGCACTCCAAGTGCTCCAAGTGCTCGAAGTGCTCCAAGTGCTCCAAAGTTCGTGGGACTCCCTACGATCGCCGTTCTTTGACACATCTCGCCGGGTCGTCGGCCTGCGGGCGGCCTTCTCTCGAGGTCTCGAGATACACAAAGCGGCCAAGGGTCGTCGTGACTAGGCGGTGTGAGAGTGGAGTGTGAGTTTCGGCACATTCAGGCCGTATCAATCACAATAGAGACCGCAGGACACTGCGCCTCTGTCGACATAAGACAAGGCACAAACATGACATCAGAACACGATCAGTTCCGCACTTTCGCCGCTTGAGCCGTGCGTGACCCCCCCCCCCCCCCCTCATTCCTCCCCCACCGGGCCGCCACCGGGAGAGAGAGGAGACCTCTCGCGGCCGTGTCGGGCGCTACGCCCGCCGGCCGCCAGAACCGCCGCGCCCTAGTAGTCCTCGTAGTCCTTGTACGCGGTGTAGTGCTTGTAGTACTGGCTCCGCTTCGCCTCCGTCTCGGCCTGCGGCGGGGACGCTGGGCGGGCGGCCGTGCGGCGCGGCTCGGGGCGCCTGGGCGGCGGAGCGACCCGCGGCCGCCCAGCCTGCGGCTCGGCACCCGACGGCACCCGCCGCGGCGGCGGCTCCTGCGCCGCCTCCGGCCGTGCGCGGGAGAGGGCGTCGCGGCGCTGCTGCCGCTCCACCTCCGCCCGCCACGCCGCCTTGGCCTCCTCCGTCGCCGCCGACGGCGTGGGCGCGACGCCGCCGCCGCCGCCGCCACGGCTGCCGACGCGGGCAGCGCCGTAGCGGCCGCCGCCGGCGCGAGCCTCCGCCCTCGGCCCGTCCGCGGACCACGCCGTCCCGTCGCTCCAACTGGCGCGTGGCATCGGCGGCTGCCGCATCGGCGGCTGCCGCATCCCGCTGCGACCCGGCTGCACCCGCCCCGCAAGCCCGCCCAAGCCGTCCGGCCGCCGCCCCGCCCTCGCATCGAGTGGCGGCACGTCCTTGTGGGAAGCGGCGGCCGCCGCCGCCGCCCCCGCTGCCGCCGCCTCGGCCGCCTCGGCCGCCGGCGCGACCGGAGCTGGGGCCTCCGGCACCTCGGGAACGGTCGTCGGCCCCGACGTCGCCGGCGCCTGCGCCGTCCGCGCCGTCCGCACCGGCGGCGCCGCGGACGACCCGCCACCCCCCCCTTCACCGCCGCCTACTCCTCCTCCCCAAGAGGGCGAGTACTTGAAGTACTTTGCACGCCGCGCCTCCGCCTCGGAGCGGTCGAGCGCCTCCTTGTACAGCGTGCTCGCCGCCTCTGCGACCGAGGCCGTCCGCGCACTGACGGGCGGCGCCTAAAGGGGAAGAGAGGCGGGAACCGTGAGCAAAGGTGTGAAGACGATCCGCGGTCCGCGCATCGACCGGCGGCGCCTCTGCAGCCGACGCCGGCGCCTGCGGCTTCGAAGTCGCCGCCGCTGTCGATGTCGCCGGTGCGGCCGGAGCCGCGGCAGCGGTCCTCAGGCAGGAGGGCGTAGCGAGCACGGAGAGGGGTGGCCGGTAGGCCTGTGGGACATGTCTCGGACTCATCATGGACATGTCCCGGACATGTCCTGACGGCCTGCTCGTCGCGCTCGCCTGAGGCGCCGCCCCGACAGACGCCTTTGCCCCCGCCTGCAAGCTTCCCGGCTTGGCCAGCCACGCAACCTTGGCGGCCTGCGCTGCCGGCGGCGGCGCCGGCGCCGGGAGCGGCAGCGCGGCCGGGAGCACCGCGGTCGGGGGCACTGCTGTCGGAAGCACCGCCGCCGGATCGGCCAACACCTCGGCCGCTGCCTCCGCCGGCGCCGCTCCTTGCGCCACTTCTTGCGCCGCCCCTTGCGCCGCCCCTTGCGCCGCCCTCGCGCCCCCCGCAGGGGCCAGCTTTGCGAGCCACGCCGCCTTGGCCGCCGCTTCCGACGACGCCTTGGCCGCCGCTTCCGACGCCGCCTTGGCCGCCGCTTCCGACGCCGCCTCTGCCGCCGCTTCCGACGCCGCCTTGGCCGCCGCTTCCGACGCCGCCTCTGCCGCCGCTTCCGACGCCGCCTTGGCCGCCGCTTCCGACGCCGCCTCTGCCGCCGCTTCCGACGCCGCCTTGGCCGCCGGCTCCGCGGCGGCGTCGAGCTTTTCGAGCCAGGCCGCCTTGGCCGCCGCCTCCGAAGATGCCACCTCCGAGATGGCAGACGGAGGCGGTGGCGCTGCCAGTACCACGGGCGGCGGCAACTGCGCCTCCGAAGCGACCGAAGCCGCCTGGGCCGGAACCACTCCTGGCGCGGCCACCCGAGCCGCCTGGAGCGGCATGGGTGCCGGCAGCACGCCGGGCGCGGCCGCCCGAGCCGCCGGAGCCGCCCAGGCCGCCGCGCCATTCTCTGCGCCCTGGACGGGCGCGTCAGGCTCGGCCGCCGCTGCGCGCGGTACCGCCGCCGCCGTCTCTGTCGGTGCCGCCGCTGCAGGCGGCGAAGGCGGCGAAGGCGGCGGGGGAGGAGGCGCAAGCGGCGGCGAAGACGGAGCGCCCCAAGGAGGGGGGTCGAGGCTGGCCAGCCACTTGGCCTTGGCCACAGCCTCCGTCACCGCCGCCGGCGCCGCCCCCGCCGCCCGCGTCACCGCTGCAGCCGCGGCCGCCGACGCGACCGCCGCCCTCGCGCCCCAGTCGGGAACGTCGAGCTTTGCGAGCCACGCCGCCTTGGCCGCCGCTTCCGACGCCGCCTCTGCCGCCGGTTCCGCGGCGGCCGGCGCTGCCTCGGCCTTTGCGCCACAAATCGGGGCGTCGAGCTTTGCGAGCCACGCCGCCTTGGCCGCCGCTTCCGACGCCGCCTCTGCCGCCGGTTCCGCGGCGGCCGGCGCTGCCTCGGCCTTTGCGCCCCAAGCCGGGGCATCGAGCTTTGCGAGCCAGGCCGCCTTGGCCGCCGCCGCTGGAGCCTCTGCTGTTGCGGCGACCGGCGATGGTGTTGCTGTGACTGCTGGGGGAGGTGCTGCTGCGACGGCTGCTGCGGGCGCCGGGGAGGCTGCTGCTGGGGACGGGAGGGCTGCTGCTGGCGGCGCGGACGCCCTGACCGTCGGCGCGGAGTCGACGCTTGCCAACCACCTCGCTCTGGCGGCGGCCTCCGACACTGCCGCGGCCGCGTGCGAGACGTCCACCCCTCCTGGCACGAGCTTGGCCTTCTCAGCCCCCGACACCGCCGCCTGCGCCCTCTCCCACCTCGTGAGCTCCCGGCCCAGGCGGATGGCCTCCGCCTCAGCCTCCGCCGGCGTGGCCGCCTTCCGCAAGCGCAGCGCCGCCTCCTGCCATCCCAGTGCCGCGACCGCCGAGCACCGGGCCGCGCCCGACACTGCGATCGCACGCGAGGGCGACACTGAGATCGCCGCGGACGATGCCGCGAACAGAAGGGTGAGAGAACACACGGCCGGCCGCGCCATCATCACCTCGCTTGAGGTGCGCCACGGGGTTCTTTTTCTTTGATTCTTTACTACCCACCTACCTTTTCTTGTCGATCCTTTTTGTGACCGTCACCGCCCGTCCCGCGTCCACCCATACCGCGTTGTGTGTCCCAGTCGTTGGTCGGACTGTGTTTCGCCTTCCTGTCAATGTATGTTGACTTTGAGGTGATGAGGAGTAAGGCCGCGCTGTTGGCGGCGGGACGGACGTAAGATAATGAATCGTTGATGCGATCAGGCGTAACAAGTTCAAACAAGCGCGATTGCACAAGGGGTGGAAGAGGGTCTGGCCACCGCGGGGCGAGGGAGGCGGCGGGCCAGATGCCGGATCCGCTGTGCGCGTTCCGGCGTTCGTGTCGGTCAGGGCGCGGCGCTGACCGCGGCGGCCTGGGCCGCGGCGGCGGCGAACGCCGACGGCGGTGGACCATTCCGGCTCAATCAGAGGTAAGCGCGGCCGCGGTGCGTGTGTGGTGCGTGGTCCCATGCGCGATATGCGGGGCGCGAGAGAGTCGAGTGTGATCACGCCCCTGCAACACCAACTAACAACGAAACGAAACCTAAGATACTAGAGGCTGCACCCTCCCCCCACGTGTACATGCAAAAGGTCGACACGAGGTGACAAAGCAATCACGAGATGCAGGGCACGCGCCCTCTCACTGCCCCGGACCCCACGCCTCGATCTTCTTGGGCAGCAGCTGGTCCGACAGGTCCTCTCCGTGGCCTAGACGGCCGTCGGAGCCCTCGCCCCAGGTAAAGAAGGCGCCGTCGGCGGTAACGGTGAGGCTGCGGGATGTTCCCGCCGACACAGCGACGACGCGCCGCCCAGCAAAGGCCTCGACCTTCTTGGGCAGCAGCTGGTGCTGAGTGTTGCCGTGGCCCAGCCGGCCCCCGCCTCCATAGCCCCAGCTCCAGGCAGCGCCGTCGGCGGTGAGGGCGAGGCTGTGGCGTGATCCTGCCGACAGCGCGACGACGCGCCGGCCAGCAAACGTCTCGACCTTCTTTGGCAGCAGCTTGTTTTGCTCGTTGCCATGGCCCAGCTGGCCATCCTCTCCATCGCCCCAGCTGCAGACGGCGCCGTTGGCGGTGAGGGCGAGGCTGTGGCTGCATCCAGCCGACACGGCGACGACGCGCCGGCCAGCAAACGCCTCGACCTTCTTGGGCAGCAGCTGGTTCTGCTGGTCGCCGTGGCCCAGCAGGCCCCCGCCTCCATAGCCCCAGCTCCAGGCAGCGCCGTCGGCGGTGAGGGCGAGGCTGTGGCAGACTCCAGCCGACACAGCGACGACGCGCTGGTCAGCAAACGCCTCCACCTTCTTGGGCAGCAGCTGGAGCTGCTGGCCACCGTGGCCCAGCTTGCCAAAGTCTCCCCAGCCCCAGCTCCAGACGCTGCCGTCGGTGGCGAGGGCGAGGCTGTGGCTGTGTCCAGCCGACACAGCGACGACGCGCTGGCCAGCAAAGGCCTCGACCTTCTTCGGCTGCGACTGGTCCTGCTCATCGCCGTGCCCCAGCTCGCCAAGGCCTCCCTCGCCCCAGCTCCAGACACTGCCATCAGCGGTGAGGGCGAGGCTGTGGCTCCCTCCAGCCACCACGCTCACGGCGCGCTCACCGCCCAGCGCCGAGGGGAGGCGCGTCGGCGTGTTGAGCTGCGTCACCCCCTCGCCGTGACCGAGTGCGATGGGCTGGAGGAAGACGCTGAGCCGCACGACGAGAGCCGCCCCTCGCCGTCGATGAAGAGGCTGTGCCGAAAACCCGTCGCCAGCCTCGCCGGCGGGTTGAACTCGCGCAGCAGCGCCGAATAGCACAGCCACCGCACGGCGCAGCCCTCGCCCTCCGGCTGCGCCGGCAGCTCGAAGCCGCGCTCCTGCGCCCACAAGCGGATGCCCTCCGCCGCGAGCGAGGCGTGGAAGAGCAGCGAGACGGCCGCAACGCGGGCGATGTCGAGGGGGCCGTCGAGGCGAGAGACGACGCGCACGAGGAGCTCCGTGGGGAGGTCGAGGAGGTGGACGGGCGGCGGCGTGCTTGGCGAGGGGGCGGCGGAGGCGGCGGAGGCGAGGCGGCGCGAGCGGCGGCGGGGTGGACATCGCGAGAAAAAGAAATTTAACGCCAAACCGCCTCAACTTCCCGGCCTCGCCGCCCTCGCTCGCCGCTCGCTCGCCCGCTCGCCCGACTTTCTACTTCCTCGTGATCCGCGCCGCCGCCACCCTCGCCCCACCCTTCCGCCGCCCCGCCTGCTGCCGTCCCCGTCTCAGTCGTTTGCCCCGCCGCTCTGCCGTTCTGCCGCCGTGCCGCCGCCCTCGCCCCCCGCCGCCGCCCCCCGCTCAGCCGTTCGGCCCGCCGACCGATGTCCAGCCTGCCATCCTACCGTGCCGCGCCGCCTTTACACACACTTGAGCACTTGAGCACTGGATAGGGTCGATTCCGCATGGTACGGGACCCCTCGATCGTCTCGCCCTCCCTCACTGGTGTGTTCATTGGGGGGGGTCATAACAAACACGGTACAGGATCGAGGTGCACGCTGCCGAAGCAGTGTCGTCCCCCCTCTCCCCGACGGCGATGGCGGTGTGACCGATCGAGCTACAAGAGGAGCTTGTTCAGCAGGATCCGGAATTAGTCTGACGCACTGCCTCACTGGGTCTGAGATCATCGAGACGCCTCCCATCACCGTCTCGGATTCATGTGGGATCGAACCACTCCGGGATGGGCAAGCCCATCGTTCTCATTGAGAGCTGTGCCTTCCTATCACCTGTGAGAGACAGTGGAGAGGGTGTGCGCCACATCAGCCGGAGCGGGCGGTGAGGGGGGGGGGGGAGGGGGGGCTCATCCATTCAGGCTCAGCATACAAAGCAACTTCAAGACATACTACACCCACAGCCGACAAAGCAACTTCAGGACGTACTACACACGCGCGCAAACCACGGGCA